TATTGTGAGATAAAGAATTCACTGCTAGTTAGCTACACGCTTCTTTTAATAGTAGTATAACAATAATTTGGTGTAAGACTAGGTTGTATTCCTGGGCCCAGAACTATAGTTGATAATTTTTCAGTATAATAATTTGGTTCTTAGAATTACAATAATGACACATTTCAAAAATATCTAGTCTGAAAGTTCGATACTACGGCACCTAGAGTCCATAGGCCCATTCTGATGGGTCCTACGGCCCCTAGGGCGATCACACACCCTCTTGAGCGTTGCCGCAGGCCACGGTCAAGAACGATCTAACTTCCTCTCACACTACCTGCCACGCTAACACCACTATCCCGGCGGCGATAACGTCCGAGCTTTCGGCAAGCCGGCAGGCAACTTCACTCGCTGAAGCTGCACCCAAGATTGGTGTGTGCGCCCTATTGTTTGCCGCATCCGTCCATTCTATGCCCTTCTCAGTACGGAATGAGGGGACCTGAGCAAACGCCAACGCAGACCCGACCAGTGACATGCGCGATTGCAGCGTTCCTGTGGAGAGCTGCTTCCATTCCTGGGCAAGAAAATTTTGAGCCGCAGGAGACAGATGGCACTTGACCCGCCTATCCGTGCGGGTATACGCTTTCTGTAGAAGACAAAGGCAGATTTGATTAACCCTTTCCATGTCTGGCCCTTCTCCGTGTACCGGAGGTGGTGCAACACCGCCCGTCGCTCTCCTATCGGAGACGTGCGGAAAGGAGAACGCATGAAAAGCCACTGCCCGTACTCTCCGGAAAACACCAAATCCACATCTTGCCCAATAACGGAGGAGATAGGGGAGATGTACGGTCGGAGCTGCGTTCTGTGCCGACGTACCTCCTTGCCCCGGAACGAGACAGTGTACGTTACTGGGCCGTCATGTGAGCGAATAGTAGCAGCACCCTTCCACCTATTGTCAGCCTTTGAGTGATTTGGGGAAGACTTGGATTTTAGGGTTTATCTTATTCGCCCTCGCTCTTTGCGCTTCCTTGGCACGCTGGGTACGCTGAAAGGCAGCGTCATCACGGACTAGGGCCCGGGCCGAGTCCTCGGTAACCAGCAGGCGACGAACGTCCGCCTCCAGCATGAACTCACGCTCGCCATCATACACACGGTTGGTAGCCATCGTGTACGGAGCGGAACCCTGAGTAGCCGTGGCTGCAGCGTTATAACAGTTGCGAAACTTGTAACACCAGGGGACCCAATCGCCTTCATCCTTGGCAGTCATAGACTTGAGAATCCAATCTTGTGCAACCTTCACCATGGCCTCGGCGGCGCCGTTGGCCTGGTGATGATCAGTAGTAACATCATGCACCTTGCCGCCAGACTGCTGTACAAACTCGGTAAACTCCTCAGCCATAAACACTAAGTCCTTGTCACATGTGTATAGATTGGGCTGACCCCATGGGTGAACAACCTCGTTGAGGAACTTAATGGCCTTCCGAGCACTCTTAGCACGGAAAGGTTTCACCAGAACCATCGAGGTGGCTCTGTTCACGACAAGCATAATATGTGTATACCCAGCTGGGGTCTTGGGTAGGGTAGCAAAATCCATGAAAGCATGATCAAACAGGCCACGGTCGACTACGAGGGTCGTCGGCAAAGAACTCACGATGCCACAGGGTCAAGAGCTCCTGATGGTCAGTGAAAATTGTGGTAGGATGATGAGTGTTACCAACTACCGCCCAATGCTTACGGAGGCCGTAAACCTGCGCCAGCCATTCCTTGTCAGTGACATGATAGTTAAGCTGGGCTGGCGAGAACTTGGAAGAAAAATAGGCCACTGGCCAAAGCTCTCCATTTCTCAGCACATAGATAGCCCCGCCAAGGCCAATATGCTCACAAGTATCAGCGAACTGGTAAAGTCGTTCACCCGGCTCCGGAGTAGCGAGGACTGCACATGTCTTTAAGCGCTCGTTGACCAAATCAACCGCAGCCTGTTGGTCGGCATGAACTTCACCCCCTCCTTGGCAAAGCCGAAATGAGTTTCAAAATCTTAGAAAAACCGTCCATATAACGCTGCCAGAACGCCACCGTGTGGTATCAAGACCGGACACGGTCCTGGATGTCAGGACGGTCAACCTCCAGCAGAGCTGCTAACCGATCAGCCGAGATTATGACGCCCTGATGATTGCACCAGCGCCCTAAGATCTTCACTGGACGCTTATAATACCCGATCCGCACCTTGGAAAGGCCAAATTGAATATCATATTTGTCACAACGCTCAAAAAAAGCAATAAGGTGATCCCAGCCGAGGATATCACAATATCATCGATGTACTACTTGATACCTTGCAAACCATCGAACAGACGATTCAGGGTCTCTTGGAATCGCCACGATGCCTCAGTAATGCCGAAAGGGAGGGCTAAATACTTGTAACGGCCCCACGGGGTCCAAAAAGTCAAAATGTCTTGGCTCCTCTTCTCCAGCGGCAGCTGGTCAACCCATTTCCACAATCGACAACAGACACCCATGGCTTGCCCGCGACATGCCCGAACATCTCCCCTTCAGTAGGGATATTAAACGGTTCCTGCTTCAACTTCGCCTTCCACTTAGCAAAGTTAGTACAATATCTCCAACCATCCTTGGTTTGAGGGGTAACCCGGGGATTCTTGGGGACCCTAAGCGACTTCGCCGACCAGAGGATCTCTTCATTTTCTTGCCTAGCAATGATACTCTGCTTGACAAGGTCATCAATCTTGCCCTTCATAGCCACCATCTCCGGATGATCTAAAGGGAGATTCTCCTGACTTCGGACCCTGGCTGACGGGTCACCCTCAACAGGGTACAGTTTGATAGGATCAACTTTCATAAACCGATGCTTTTTCTTGTCAAAGGCTCGGCCCTCGATCAACGCTGCCAGCCGTGCGAATTCAGCGTCCGACTCTTTTTGCCTCCTTCCACACCTCTTGCCTGTGGGAGAACTTTGGCAGGAATAGTTTCTTGCTCAGAGTGTACCCCACACCGCTTCCGCCCTTGCTAATAGCAAGGCACGAAGATCCTGGGCTTCTACCTTGGAAACGCCTCCTGTAGAGGACGCACCAGGAGAGCCATTCGGAGGCGGAGTGATAGAGGACTTGAGTCCATTAGCCACCGCCTACGTTGATCTCTCGATACGCTGATCGGGAGTCCTCGTCTTTTTCTCGGTTGAAGTAGTCCCACTTACGGATACGCTACTATCAGAGCCGGTCAGAGGTTGCGACATGGCGGACTTAGGTCCACCATGCGCGACCTGTGTAGTCATCGTATGAGTGGCTTGCAAAGCATGTTCACTACGAGCTGCCGTCTTCAGTCTCCTAACCGGATAGGTGCGCTTGCTATGCGCCCTACGCCGGCTTAGGGTCTCTGACCTATGATCAGAATCAGAGTCGTCCGACGAATCGGACAGCAAACTCCAGCATGATTGTTCACTGCTGTCGCTGCCTGATTCAGGCTTAGTCGCCCGGGCCGAACGCACCAATGAAACAGGCTTCGGTGGGCGATGCCCCATGGTGGGCCACGTCATATTATAGTCGCTGGAAATATCTGAATCCGATATTATACCAGGACACTCGGCATCATCCGTGAACACGTCAAACGCCGAGTCCACACTGCTGTGCTGTTGCGGTTGAGAGTGCTCAGCAGAGTCATCACTATCCATATAAGGGTCGTGACGCTCATTGGCTCCGTCAGTCACACGCTGAATGTACCGACGTGGTGTATGTCGCTTCTTCATCGCCTTCTTACCTCGGGCACGGAGCTTCGCGAATAAAATAGTTCAGCTGCGATTGCCACATCTGCTTCTGGGCGGCTGTAGGCTGCTATTTCCCACCGCCCCCATTGCCATTACGACCTCCTTGGTTGCTACCATTACCCGCCTGCTGGTTATTTCTGTTCTGCGGTTGCTTCGGCTGCTGGTTACCCTTACGGGCGTTCACCTTCGTACCAACCCCGTCCTAAATCTTGACGAAATCAAACAAAGATGCAACATAGAGTGCCCATGACTGCTGGAGCCAACTGAGCAAGCGCGATGGGCCTTGCTCAGCGAAACCCGACACAGAGAGAACATGTTGTGTGTTCTTGACAACCAGAGAAAACAATAATTCAACAGTCGCAATCTGTTCATTAATCTCAATCACAACTTTCTCCAATAGCGCAGGCTCAGCAATGACCTGCGCTAACAAAAACTTGCTTATATTGTCGTTAACCATAGCAAGGGCCGCATATGCGTTGTTGGAGCCATTACGAAGCACCATACAGAAACGAGACACTTTCTCGTACATGCCTCCTGGCAGACGAAGTACCGCTAGATCAACCGCTCGCGATGCACGAGAAGCCAAAGGGATCCTATCTAGCGATCTCGATGAGGCCGTAGATGAACTCGCTGCTGTCGATCCATGAGCTGAAGACCCCGATGTGCTCGCCGCCTCTAAACGTTCGGCATAAAAACGACGCGCTTCCTCCCGTACCTGTTGCTGTACGGCTTCGTCCTGCTAAGATTTCGCCCATTGCGCCTTCTCAGCGTCAGTTTGTGGGGCATCTCCACCTCCTGCTGCTGAGCCTGGCATCCCATAATCCGGTTGAGTTGCCGCAGCATCTGAACGCCTTGCTGGTCTCGACAGCTGCATCCGACGATCCCGCCCGTCCACCATCAGACGGCGTGTACAATGCTCCATCTCGTTGCCCTGCCAGAAATACGGCCGTGCGATCACAGGCTGTTTCAAGCCCTGCATTAGAGTTACGCGTTTCTACATCGTTGCGCGATAAAGGGGTAACCCCAGGCTCCCCAAGAAAACTCTCGGTTTGGGCTACCATCGTATCTCTGAGAGAGGCCACGAAGTTGTCAGCCGAAAACTCTTCCGTTGCTGCTGCAGTGTGCGCGTCGCGAGATTCAGCCAAAAATACTTTCAACAAGGCCCTAATGGCCATATACGTTAGCAATTCGTCTAACGCATGGAAAGTAACTTCCGGATCCTTCCGTAAAGCACGTGCGAAGGCCGCCACTACTGAATGGGAAGTATTCCTACTGAGGTGACGCCATTCACCAGCATGTAGGGTAGCCATAGCGATCAACCACATGTGGTTGCCCTGCATGCCGGGTAGCATATCTCGTTGCACTAGACTGTAAAACTCTGGGCTGAAATATAAGCTCAGCATATGCTCCTTTGCTTCGGCCTGGTCGTCACCAAGATTGGTGAACACCGGCGACGCCATCGCGCGACTGATCGATGCCATCCATGCGTAAAAATCGTCACTTTTGTTGCCATGCAACAAATGGCGTTGAAATCGCGTGGACATGGTGAATTGGGTCTGATTACTTGAATACTAACTAGCACACCAACAATGTACCACTATTGTGAGAAAAGGAATTCACTGCTAGTTAGCTCCACACTTCTTTTAATAGTAGTATAATAATAAGTTGGTGTAAGACTAGGTTGTATTCCTGGGCCCAGAACTATATAGTTGATAATTTGTCAGTATAATAATGTGGTTCTTGAATTCCAATAATGACACATGTCAAAAATATATAGTCTGAAAGTTCGGTACTACGGCACCTAGAGTCCCTAGGGCCATTCTGATGGGTCCTAGGGACCCTAGGCCGATCACTATGTATATATATAGATAGATAGATATA